AGGGAGGGGGAGGGAGGGAGAGAGGGAGATTGATTGGTTGCCCCCAGTACACACCTCTGCTGGGGAGGAGCCTGAAACCTTTTGGTGCCTGGGGTGACGCTCCAGCCCCACTGAACCACTCTGACCAGGGCTGTTTCTTTTGTATTCTTATTGAAGAAAAAGCTTGCTTTTTTAAATTAACATTGAGATATGACTTTCCAAGTAAATAGCAAAGTATATTATTTCTTCCCAAGAAAAAGGTCTCAGATTTTTTTATTTTAATGTAATAAACACTTTTACTTAGGTATCATAAGCTCATTATAATTTTAATGTAGATGGTCCAAGCTTGGATTCTAAGTTCTGTGAAGGTTGAAACTGTTTTTGCCACCCCTTTATAAATCCAGAGTTTATCCTTATGCCTTGTCCATAATAAATGCTTAGAAAGTATTTGTTATATAAATATATATTTGTAATCACGTATATATTTTTATTATACATATTGTTTTGTAATATACTCCCCACAGTTAACTGCAATGTTGTCAGTTGTGAACATTGTGTAATAATATTATTGTTTTTGTCTGTCTGTAGGTTGGTATTTTGTATGGCACCTTTTTTTATCGAAATTCAAGTTTCTGCGTGAACTGGTGGGAGACACTGGATCCCAGGAGGGAGATCACGAGCCTTCAGGGTCTGAAACAGAGGAGGATGCCTCCTCGTCTCCACACAGGATCAGGTCTGCTCGCCAAAGGAGGGCGCCTGCTGACGAAGGCCACTGACCCCGCCGCCGTCCGGTGTTAGTGGGTGAAGAAAGGCAGTGGGAGCCTCTGTCTTGAATGACTTGGCTTTGCATCNTTAGTGGGTGAAGAAAGGCAGTGGGAGCCTCTGTCTCGAATGACTTGGCTTTGCATTTGCTAAAATGTTGGACAGCATTTGTACTTGGATTTCAAGTCCAATTCAAAAAAAGATTTACATGTAAGCCATATGAAAATAAAGGGAATTTAAACCAAATTGGACCATTGCAAATTTTATCTTAAAGATAATCTTCTGCTTTACTAGCATTTACTTATATACTTATTCCTTGGCTCTTGGGCTTATATTTTTTGCACTTGTGTGAATCTGTTAAACATTACAGGATTGAAAACTGTATTTTATTAGTTCTATAATGTACTCCCCCCCACATTTTAATTTTCCTGAAATTGGGATGCATCTCACCATGACTGTCAACCAGGCGGTAGTTGATGTCATTATCCTAGCCTGTGCGTGTGTGAGCTCACAGCTTGCCATAGCGTCATCACTGTGTCGTTGATGTCAAATGTGTCAGGATTAATTGGCATTTAAAAATGTCTTCTGAAAGATTACACTGTGGTTCAGCACAGAAACAAGGTGGCTGTCTAAGCGGGAAAGCATAGCAGCAGAGCAAGGGGCGTGCTGCTGATGCCAGCTCAGCAAGTGGGCGTCGCTGGAGGAATGACCGCAATTCCATATTTTCTTGTAAAGCAACAAAATGCTTTACAGGTCCTCAGGAGGGAAGATACCCACAAGTAGATGAAGCTGTACTACGTTTTGTCACTGACACATGCAAAGGATTGCCTGTCACAAGCTAAGTGATGCAGTGAAGGCAGAGAAATTGCCAAACCCTTGGAATAAATGAAACATAACTCAAAGCAACGAGGCTTGTGCGATCAATTTGTGTGTCCAGCAGGGCCATCGTCAAGGTGTCAAACATGTCGGTCCACAGCCTCCTGCTGACAGTAAGCAGAGACTTTCAGGAAACGCTGTGTCACCGGTGCTCTTGATGACACCAAGGGAGCCATGTGTAGAGAATGCGGCTACCGGGGCCTAATGTAATAAGTGTCCGAAGAGTTGCACTTGGAGTATGAAGTTATGGCTATAACTTAACCAGTTTCTTTCATAACAGTTGTGTATGCACAAGACTGATGAAAATCTGTTTAACTCGAAAAGCTCTGTTTCCTTAAATCTAAAATAAACCTTCTAAATGATACGAAAGCGTTGTCAGAGTTTAATTGCCTGCTTTTTCCTTAGTGATACCTATGGTGCATCTTACAAGTGATGGTATCTTAGCTTAAATAAAAAATAGTTTGTAAATTTATTTTTTCCTAGGATAGCAATTATTGCTAACTTCATTCTGACACTTGCCATGTTGTTAAAAAAGCTGTCCTCTATGAGACATTGTTTTTGGCAACCCGTTGAAGTCTTTAGAGTAGTAACTTTGGAATCTGAGAGCTGTCTTCTACTTTAGGAAGACAGGATTAATCACTCCCTTGGTACGGGAGGGCTTCATGCTCAAGGCATGTGCTGTGGAGAAAATACTTCATAAACAGCAATTCAGTGTCCAGGTCTCGGGGAGAGGGGACTGAGAAGAAATAGAGGGTGGAGGGAAATGCCCGCCTCATTGTAAAGTGACTCTTGCCAGGTCCGCGTGTTTGTCTTCGCTGAACTTTGAACCGAGTGTTTACTGGGGAAGAGGGACTAAAGAGCCTTCCTGTTGACTGTTACCTGCTTTGTACAAGACTGAATTGCAAAGCCAACTTACTTCATTAGTTCAAGTTCCTTTTCTGTGTTTAACCTTTGTTTCTGAAGAACTAGCCATCACAGAATGTCACCTCTGTTTTACAATGGTGTGTGATTGTTTTGTACCTCATACGTCCTCCTGACAGTTTTGTTAGTTAATAGGTCACTTGCTCTGCCCAAGCGGTATTCCTGGTGCACAATTCCGCTGGCGTTGTAGCCGCTGTATATACGGAAAGGGAATTTACAGAGCATAACTTCAATTTTAGATATTTGCTACGGGAAGATCCCCAGCAGCTGAGAGTGGGGCACAGTGTTTCTGTCTTCATTTCCTTCTTGGATGCTATTTTCTATTTTTATGTGACTGTAGGAATTAAAAAAAGCAGTGACACAAGTTTCAAGCATTAATTTTAGTGCTTCCTACTAGCTAAATAGCACATTAAATAATCATCAGTTAGGGGAGAAAAAGCCTAAAAATCTTAATACTGGCAGAATTAAATTAGATCTTTCGTAGTCTAGTATTTTGAACTGTGGATTCTGCTTTGTAGTGGATAGCTTGTCTAGATAGTAATAGTCGCTGACACACTTTAAGTAGCTGGTGAGCTTCCATATTGTATCAGTATTAAAGACTGATGGCCGATGTAACCCCCCAAAACCTACAAGTGTCATCCACAAATTAAACAAATTAATCCATGTAAAGGTATATATATTGGTATTATTTATTAATATTTATGCTTCAAGAATGTCTTTTTAAATAGAATTTTAAGAAATGTTCTGCTTTACTTACTTGGGGAATATACTCAAAAGCACAATAACAGCTCACACCCTACCATGTTTTAACTCTTAGGAGAGTTAAAAGAAATTGCTGATGCCAATACGAAGGTCCCGCACACTAATTCCTATGTTTAAAACCTTTCTTCCCTCTGTACTCCTCTGCCCGCAGTGCACTCACTATACTACATATTTCTAAGGCCGCTAAAAGAGGCAAAAGAAATAGTTGTTAACACAATTATTTGTGTGTTGTAGTGTTTCTGGGTTTTCCCCCGTTTTAGAGCTTTTGTAGCTGAACTTAGCAGAATTTCATAAGGACATTTTCAGTTTCTCAGTAGGAGATGGACTAGCCTGTGGTTAATTTTAAAGTTCAGAAGGTTCTGAGCATTAAAAACACATACAAGTATTAGTTGTGTCTAAATACTCATTAACTGATGCAGATCAAATATGATCTCTTTTGAGGAGTAATTCTAACATCGAGGGCTAAGAGTTTGTTTTCATTTCTTAACCAACTATTCCCAAGTCTAAGCTCTTGCCTCTGAAACGCTTGTGAAAATTGCCGGTATCTAGTGATTGGTAGCATTACTCTGACTTAAATGCCAAAAAACACTAAATATTTGTGTAGTATTGTTAAATGAGGTTTTTCATATTTACATCAAGTTAAAATAGAATTCATCCAGTGGATTTTGTAGTATTGTTTTCATGGTGGAAACATATATGTTACTTGGTGGAGAGCCAGTTCACACTGACCAATTTCTTTAGATAATAGGTTTAAAAACTGCTTCAAACTGTTATTTTATTGAAAGTTGGGAATGTATTAAATAATGGTTTCACAAATATGGCATTTTAAACCAAAACGTGTTAATGGTTTGAAAGTAGTGCATTTTTACTTGTAAAAGCAACCTTTTTTTGAAATGATTTTAAGTCAATGATGCAGTATTTTTTGAAGTCAGTTTTTCTGAAAAGTTATGTTTTAATGTAACACGTAACCACTGTAACTTTAGATTTTAACCATAAACTTTTATATTTGAAGGTGACTTTAAAAAGCCAATGAACAGTACTCAAAGGTTATAGACTCAAGCAGCTAATGGAATAGTGTTTGTTTTACGGAGTCTAGACTTAAAGCACCTTGTATTGTCTGCTTTTAAAGTATCTTATAGCTTTTAACTTGCAGCATAAAGGGTAACAGTTTATCTTGGTGGAAGTTTCATTTTCCATTTGTTAATGTACATGCGTTGCCTGTTTTATGACCAATGTTCAACATTACCCTCCAAGTCAGTTCTATGCATAACCACTCACCAGATGCTGCTGCTGTGGTTTCTTCCAGGAACCTCTCTGCTGTGCTACGATGCATTGTCATCTTGCTGCTTGACAAATAGGTTTATAAGGAATGAAAATTGTGTGTTAATAGTATCTTTGTAAAATAAGATGTAAAATCAGAGATGAGGAATGATCATTCACTGTTTTTGTTTAAAAAATGGTCAATACTATACCTAAAGCTTCTGTGGTTTGTTTATATGATGTTTTAACTTTTGCTTTAAACCACACAGAATAAATTAAAATGAAAACAAACAAAGTTGTGTGTGTTTCATTGATAAAGTATAGTAAGTATGGAGGAGGGTACCTTGGGCGTAAAGGGATTTGAAAGCAGCCCTTTTTCCCAGTGGTCCAGCTTTCACCTCATGTTTCAAACTCCAAAATCCTCTAGGAATCAAGACGGCGCAGTATTCTGGGGCCGGGAAAGTAATTGCCTTAGAACCTGACGGACAGACAACGTTAGAGCTAAATTACATTGACCACGGTTAGCCTTTTTGTTTCTTCTCATAATACCATAGGTCATGGTTTCTATTTTTGTTAGTATTAACCTCCAGGAAGTCCGAGTGAGGAAAGCTCACCAAAGCCAAGAAAAAAGATTGAGGGATGCCTTTGAAAACTAGTTTGAGATAAGAAACCATTGGTTGCAGTGGCTGGGAGCCAACTTGAGCTTTTTCTCCAGCAGTGCGGAGCTGCCAAGGACGCAGGATGGGAAGAAGTGGGTTGTGGCAGGATCAGCCTTCCTAAGGTAGGAGTGTCTAAAGGGCAAGGTCATTAGACAGGGCTGGGGTTTGGCCCTGGGGTTTGGGCTGGAGTGGGAGAGACGTGGGGTCATTAAGGCTCTGATAAGGTGGGTGAGTGGGAAGGGGCAGGTGGTATGAGTGTAACGTTGTATAATGGATAGAGGGAAGTTTGGGGTGGAGGCTAGGATTTTAGAGGTGAGGCAGTTCTGAGCAGTGACGCTACAGGCATAGAGAAGGGGAATCTGAGAACTGCACTCACTCTGCAGTCATTGCGTGGACTGTCAGCATGGCCACTAATGCATGATAGCTGGAGCTGGGATGGAGAAGGTGACCGTGACCTGGCGACAAGGTGAGGGACTTGAAGGCTGATCTCAAGGTCTGGGATGTCAAGCGTGGCCCTTAAAAGGAGGAGTTTCCTGAAAGGGAAAGGAATGCTGGGGAGCTGTGAGGATGTTTTCAGGCTGCCTCCCCTCCCCCACCCCCCTCA